AGAAGAGCTCTTAAAAACGAAAAGAACGGGCGTGCTCTGAGTGATCGGAAGCGAGCCTTTCATGTTGTCAGTGATGACCACAAGGTATGCGTTACGCTTTCATGATTGCGAATATCAAAAATTTTCAAGGTGACGCGTACCATTATTCAAAAGAAGGCACTTACGCCAAAAGGAAACATAGCTCAGACAACCACAGCGAAGAACTACACGTCATCAACTGATCAGGAAACACATTGGTAACACGAACAATGCTCATCCGTTTTATAGATGGGTTTTGCATATAGATAATGTAGACAACAAGAGCGGGATCTTGAAGAGGAGGACTTTCATGACCGCACCAGCAGAAAAATGAAATTCGGAAAACGCCCTAATATTCCACAGCGGGATATAACAACACAAATTGACTTTGTCAAAGTGAGGACACCTATGCTTGCTTCAAGCTGGCAACACGGAAACCAGAACGGCACAAAAAATTCGCCTGGGACGGGCAGTCTTACAGTGAGCTCCAGCAAAAAGAAAAGACCGGTAATATCAGCCATTCGCTTAGGCGATGTTACTGAGAAACTTGCACAACGGTAGTTGGTCACTCTTCCGTGCTATGGAAGCACAACAACTACTCCTCACAGCTTAAAAGAAGGACGATCACGCACCACCATATTTGTTTGCTTCCTCATAGCATAACAATACAAATCACTACAAGGTGTTTCCAAAAAACTTAGAGTGTGCGTAACTACACATTATAAATCTCGCCATCCACGTTCTTCGCATGACTGGCGACACCGCGACAAGACTGGTCTCAATCTCGACATGTTTGAGAAGGAGGCTTCGAGAACGTCCAGATCTGACAGTTTACATGGGCTCGAAATTATTTGTCATCAAAATTGACTCAGTACTCATGTCAGAACAATAGTAAAAGCGGAACCACTACCAAGTAGTAAAAAAAGTGAAGAACAATTAAATGCAATTATAAAGAAAAATGCAGGCTATTTCAAAACCAAAGAAAACTGACCATGTCTTTGAGCACACGCTCTGTTTCTTCCCTAGCAAGACTGTCCACCCGTTGTTTCTTCTCCTCAATGCGCTCAGACGCAGTTTTTCCACGAATTCTCGCCAAAAGATCTATTGTGTTTGAATCGTCCAAGAGATCTTCGTAAATATCGCTGTCGCTGAAATCGAACATGCAAAACTGCTGCGTAGTGTGAGAAGAAATCTAGGATCACATTTATCGCACTACTCACTCTGAAAAAGTATTCATAACAGCCACATATTTACTGGTGGTGAGCAGGCCGAGGCGAATACTTGGCCAGCGTTTGCCAAACATAGGACCATAGTAGAAGTCACAGTGATCTAGGGCGACCATGGATGGTGTTTTAAGAGCATGAGTTTTCGCTACCTGAACCAAACTTCAATGTGACTGGAAAGAAGCTTGCGTAATTTGCACAAATAAACAAATTGCTTCTACGATTCCAATGTGATTCTAGTGCGTGCTTAAGATTTTGCTCTCCGAAACGCCGACGAATCGTAATGGATGACCTCAACTCGAGGTGACGCTTAAGCGCTATAGTACGACGGCGTTCAGGGTTTGCCTGATCTCCGATTTGCAATGTTCCCATAGTTGAAGACAGCACTCTCGACTCACACACTCTTCACACTTTCAAGTAAGATTTGACCTTCGGATTTCTAGGTCTTTGCACTTACCGCCACCAAAACAAAGCTTGAATAGACTGTGACAACTCACCTTAGCTTTGAACTTCACAGTTTTGAAGCGCAGCTGATGTATCTGTAACTTCGCTCGACAACCTTGTAGGCACTTGTTGAACATCCAAACTAAATACTTTTGAATCTAGATTCTTCTGTAGGCAACAAGCGGAAAGGGCCCATTTTCTTGGGCCGTGCCCTTTGATCGGAAACAGCGGAGGCATAGCACAAAACGAAGGATCCTTGAATCGAGGAAATGTATATGATCGAACACGGAACAGGCGACTTTACATAAACAGTATGGTTCTTCCTGCGAACGGTAGGAGGCATACTGCAGTTGAAGTGCGTGCGTGACAAGAGGTTCCAGTTCAGAGAGGGTGTGGGAAGAAGAAAATAGGGGTCATCTACAGCCCCTACCCCCATGATTGATGAAACTAGGGACAAGACGAGAGGAAGCTTACAATCATACAAAAGCACATCAAATCATTTATCTATTATTCCATTTATTTCTCTGCACAGGAGAGTTCCTGTTGTTTAGAGACAAGACAATTTAGAGATAAAAGTTTATTCTGATGAAATTGCAGATGACTGAACAAATATTTTGCAGCACATTTCAGAGACCGGGAATTATGGTAAGCACCCAACAGAATCATACAGGAAACAAAGTCAACTCAGTGTGATACCCATGAACAACAAAACGCAATAAAGACATACTGCTTCACGGAATTCTATATTTCCTTACTATCCTATCCCTGCTCGCTGTGAATAGGTGCTTTTGATGGAAACAAAAATCATAAATGGGATCACAATCCGACCCTGTGAACTCGTACACAGGGCATGATTCACATTCCAACAACGAAGAATTACGTGGGTAGCAACACATTGATCCATCTCCTGCAATTCAGAAGGATCAAAATAATGCCATCTAAAAGGCTGTTCAAAAGTATCCCAGATGAAATAAAAGGTACCGTCAGAATCATAACCAAAGAGGCAAAATATAAGTAAAATTACGTGATGAAGTATGAGCACTTACTATATGCAACAAATAATCCCTCATCTCTCGCCACTGCTTTCATTACCCGACCACGATTAGTTTGTAAACGACAGACGAACGATCTAAAAGGAAACGTTTCCAAAACATTGAGCGACTCGTACAATTCAGCCTTTAGGTAGCGATCATGGCTCGCGATCCTTGCAGTTTGTTTTAGTCTTCTTCGCGTCAGTTGACTTTATTCGACCCAGTTTAACGCTCCTTTTTGCTGATTTGTAGATGAGACTTTTTATGGGACTTTGGTAAGGAAAGTCAGCTCCAGTAAATAATGAATACAAAAAAAGGTCTCGCTACTTTCGCACCATACGACTGCGGCTAAGATCACAGGCAATGATAGCGGCCTTAGCGCTAGGCCAATGACAGCACCTGAGCCGTACATCAGGAAGGAGACCAATCTGTTATAGAGCGTTAAAAAAGTCGAAAAAAAAGTCGACAACTGGGTGCCAAAAACTCTTCTCCCACGAGTATCACCGAAGTACCGTTATGGCGGCTAGTAAGTGCACGACAATGGCGCTAAAGTCTTACCAACACCCTAGGGGAAGACCCATGTATTATATCCATACCGGTTGATAGCTCAAAAGTTTTCAAATACAACATTTATGACAATCAAATCTAGACCTACTTTTTTGGGATTTTTCGGCCGTCTCAAAAAGAATTATAAATGCAGTTGGATACCCCGTTTACGCCTATTTACACCACACCAGAGGAGGGAGGAGAATGAGCTCGGAGAAATGGGAGAAGTTAAGACAATTGGGAGCTTTTCTAATTTTAAGGCTATTTGTCTTTATGGGTTTTCGACGATTTATGACGAAAAAAGTTATCAAGCGTGTCGTTAAATCTTTGTAACCCTGCTCTGCCCACTTGCTCATGCTCTACCCATTCCAAACTTGACCCGCCCTCCTTAGGTGATTTTTGAAGGAAGAATTATAAACATGTGGGGGACACTTGCGAATTTTGGGGAGCGGTCAGACAAACAAACTCTGGTTTATATAATAGTATGATAGGGTGATCTATGCTCTACCCAGCCCTCATTTCTCGTGGTATCTGAGATGTTTTGAAGCGAATTGAACGAATTTTTTTGCCGAGTCCTCTTATTTGGACGCATGCCCCGCCCACTAAGGGCGGAGTTTCTCATGGCCAATATATTCCCTTTGTAGAGCGGTAAGTGCCCTTTCTAGGCCCTATTTATTTTTAGGCCTTTGGGATGTACGCGGAGCGATCAATTTTTCAGCGAAATTTTTATTTCGGACGCCCACTGTGGGTGGAGTTTCCCATGACCAAATATATTTCCCTTATAGAGCGACTCATACTCTACCCATTCCAAACTTGACCCGCCCTCCCTAGGTGATTTTTGAAGGAAGAATTATAAACATGTGGGGGACACTTGCGAATTTTGGGGAGCGGTCAGACAAACAAACTCTGGTTTATATATTAGTATGATCGCAAAGTATGAAAACCTACTTCGCCTTTGTGTCATAAACAGACAGCATGCCCTCTTCATCTCCAATATAAATGATATTGTCAGCATCTTGGTCAATGCAAACCGCAGTAGGTACATTGTCAGTGGTTATCGTTGACAGCTGCAATGTTAACAAAATAAGAACCCTGATCAGAAAGGAAAGGGAAAACACCGGAAAGTAAACGGTTTGAATTGTTTTACAGGTAGCGATAAGAGATAGCCGCTTCGGGGAAGTATTATATATGCATCACAAGGAGCAGTAGCTTGGCTACCATGGAAGCGTGGTGTGGTGCTTTCACGACGAAAGGTACACTGTTGTGAGCAGAATTTGAAAAGCGCTCCGCCCACTAGTTTAGTTGGTGATTTGGACGAGCTGTGTTGCCAGCAGCGGCACAACTGGAGCAACTCAACTGGAGCATAGTTTGGTATGGTGACACCAAACGCGCTGTCGTGAGCCGTTTATATGTCTGCTGTCTCAGCCGTTAGCTCCCAGACAAGTCTGGTACCAATTAACCGCCCCAGGATGGAGGGAAGACTTGGTTGGCCCGGACCACGCACGACCCAAGATTCAGTCAACGAACCGTCAATTAATTCTTTCTTTTTTGAGACGTTTCAGCATTTTATTTTACATGGTGGCTTTGCAGAACACATTTGTACAGATGTAGGGAAACAAAAACAATGCCTTTATAAACACTAAAATAAAATGCTAGCCGCAAGAAAAACAGAAAAGGCTGCAAAATCACTTACCGTGGGTCCTTCAACAGAGTACACCATACACTTTTTTCCTTCACAACACACAGCAAATAATTCTGAATCTAAACAGCGAGTTGCACAATGCAAAACATAGAGCTCCAAAAGCGCTAAACAAAATGCTATGGGCGATGAAATGACCTTTGTTGATAGCGATAGCATTGCAAGAGCCTGCTTCAGGCTTCCATTGTTCCTGTCGAGAGCCGTCTGCACACAACCACTTGATCACCGTTCCGTCATGAGAACATGACAGCACCTCACGACCGACACCAATAATAGCTATGTCGGTAACCGCTACAATGAAGACAGTTACAATCCGTACGTGAAGATGGTTAGATTGTTACTTACCCATAAGGTGACCTTTAAACGTCCGTGGACAAAGTCCGGTTTCTACAGACCACACCTTGACAGTCATATCCATACCAGCAGAGAGAACTACCAGCCCACTCGGAAAAAAGCGGCACTTGTACACGTCCATGACGTGGCCCTTCAGATCACGCTAGAGAAAAGAACATCGAGATATTGATGAAGATTAATCATAGCAACCTGCTAAATTTCCTATCTTTTGCTTTGCTAACGGATGTCTCCCGACGATGTATCATCTAGTCCTTTTAGTGTGGCGGTAGCCAGGTAGTGATTAAGAATATTTGAGCCAGGGAGGGGGCAATTAGTACAACTTAGGGAGCAGCGGGATGAATGTACTTTTCGTGTGGCAAAGTTTGCACGTTAGTGGCCAGTTGTCACAACGTGATGTCTTGGGCAACTCCACTGTTCAATGGAGTAGCTATCAAGTGCGGCGAAGGTAATGTCAAATCCATAGACACGTCTAATCAGTTTCCGAGATATGGACTGTAAGCATGTTAAATATGTGTAACACAGAGAGGCACCAAAATTTTATTTCAAAAGAATTCCAAAAGTTCACAAAATTCAAAAATTCAAAGTTCCAAAAAGCAAGAAACAGTTTGAAAAAGAATTCCTTTGAAATCTTCCGCGATATTTCGGTATATAACACCTTCTTCAGGCCTGAAGTGTTATACACCGAAATATCGCAGAAGATTTCAAAGGAATTCTTTTTCAAACTGTTTCTTGCTTTTTGGAACTTTTGAATTTTTTGGAATTTTTGAATTTTGTGAACTTTTGGAATTCTTTTGAAATAAAATTTTGGTGCCTCTCTGTGTTATACAATATTTAGGTGCTGATGAGGCTCCGGGACAGCACAATATTGTTGTTAAGGGGAACCTTGGCACTAAAAAAAATTGTTGGTGAGTTTAAGGGAAGCTTTACTTCTTGAAGAAAAAGTTGCGATACGCAGATTCCATTGAAATATTAAAGAAGAGGTGCGTAGTAGGTGCCAGTAGAAAAAAGTCGGATTGTTGCCATTCACATGATTTACGATCAAACTCTTCGCTTTCAGGTAATACTCGCCTAATGACCGCTCAAAAGTGTTCTCGATTGGAAAAACAACTAATCGGCGCCTTCCTTTACTTATAGCACGAGAATCGTCATCAACCCCAGCGATGCAGGTATAACCCCTCATTACAAGCACGCAAGTCTCCTTTTATCAGTGAAATCACCACCCACCAACAGCACTCCATTCATTGCGTTTGAAACAGTGAGTGATCCGCTCGCGTCAGAGGATACTATGAGATTCCCTGAACATGAAATATCCATTGACTGAATCGAAGTGGTATGTAGATCACGGATTTCAGACACTGGTGAGAGAAATGTTGTGTGAACATCGGAAGATTGAAAGCGCAACGCATTCTGAAACAAAAAATTTAACCAAGCAAGACTGACAGATTTCCTAAACAGATGTTCTAGTTAATGAGAAAAAGGAAAAAGCAGCACAGTACCCACACATGATTGTTGGATTGAAATTTGTATTCCATTGTCAGCACATACGAAATCATCACCGCTCTTCTCTACATTGGCGAATACAGAACCTCCACGATGCTTTCGGAGTCCCACAAAAAACTTCGGATTTGGCATTTCCCTAGGTGCCTGTCACTGTTAATTAAAAGCAAAAAGACGTGCATTGCTCACTTTAATGCGATATCCCAATCAGGCTGCACAAGAGCAGCATTTTCCATCACAATCTCGGTTGACATTCGTTGCTCGTCGACCTCCATTTCACTGAAATCAGTAGACTAGGCCGTGTTCATACCCCGCGATTTACCATCGCAAATACCTATCGCAAGCAGTGGACCGATGTCAGACTTTGCGATTGGAGCGATTTTGCACCAATTGCAGGAGCGACGGATCGCTCCAAAGTGCGAGCGACGGGAGATTTACCCCGCCGACGACCGATACACACGGCGCCGCTCGGGTAAATCTCCCGTCGCTTGCAGTGCGAGCGACGGGAGATTTACCCCGCCGACGACCGATACACACGGCGCCGCTCGGGTAAATCTCCCGTCGCTCGCACTTTGGAGCGATCCGTCGCTCCTGCAATTGGTGCAAAATCGCTCCAATCGCAAAGTCTGACATCGGACAGTGCGATCAATTCACCATAGTGACTTTGGTCAGTACCACGGTTACAGAATCACTAAGGCCTATTCATAGTCTTCGAATCGATCAATCGCTAGCGAATCCACAGACCATTACCAGAACTCGTCCTATTTTGTGTTAGTGCAAGAGTTTCAGTTTTCCCTGGCTGATTCCTTCTTCTCATCTACCATAACTTTTCATGCCCACGGTTGATCCAGGAGCCGCCATCGACACTGGACGGGATAGGCTGGTGTCAGAGTCCGCGATCCTTTGCGCGATTTTTCGCGATTTGCGCGACGGGTCACGGAAATCACAAGTGCCCCATCCATACTGCAAGGTGTTCTCCAATCCCGCCGTCACTTCTGCTTGATGGTTATGGTTTAATGGAGACTGCTCATGATTCCACTTGTTTCATATCCAGTGTTTCAATTGTTCAAATGGGGCACTTGCAATTTTTGTGATTGGTTTGGTTTGATTCCTGAAAAAAATAGGAACGATTCAAGAGCATTTCAATGAACTAATAGACATTGAACATGAAACAAGTAGAACCACAAACATTCGTCTTCCAATCTTTACTGCCAAGCAGAATTCGCAGCAGGATTAAACAACACCTCGCAGTATTCATCGGGCACTTCCAACTCCTGTGATCCATCGCAGGTTTCGCGAAAATCGCGCAAATCGCGAAAATCGCGAAAATCGCGAAGGATCGCGGACTCTGACACCAGCCTTAGTGAGTGCGGTCCGACAATGAAATGGAACGAGTGAGCCTCAAATTCAAACCGCGCGCGAAAAACTCGCCCAGTGTTTTCCCGTGTCGGTTTAGCGACGAGTAACTAAGCCTTGGAGGTGACGTGTTTCGGTTTCACAACTAAAGGAACGAAGTGGGCCTAAAACTATTCAGAGGAGCGCCACGAAATACACGTTGAGGTCCAGTGCAGATTCACGGACAAGTCTGTCAGCACCTTTGTTATACATGATGAAGCAGCGGTAATCTATTGAGCCGGCGAGAGCCTTTGAATTTATAAGATTTCTTAGCGAGCAACCCCCAGGAAAACAAAATTGCGAGCACATGGCAATAAAATAGTGCAAAGCAAAAGAAAATAGAAAGAAACTACAACGTAACTATTGTCGTCAAGTGAGTGCTGAAGTCTGAAGCTCACTATCTCTAAAACGTTTAATTTTACGCCATAAAATTACGAAATTGGCGTGAAGCCAGCACGTCCGAATGCTGTCTTGATGTGAACGCTGAAGTGATTTTCGTTTTGTCGTGGCTTAGTGATAAGCGTAGGGCAGTGTGTTGCTTCTAGTTTGTGAAAAGGATATATAAACTCAGCACGGTAGCACATCGTGCACCCAAAAACTCATAGATCAGCTCACTTTTCTTTGTCAAAAATGGGTTTCATCCAGTAGAAGGGGAAATGTGGTGTCATCTACAGAAATTCGGTCTTTCACAGAGGGATGGAGGCCCTGGCGTGAATGATTTCGCTTCCTTCTGCATCCACCCCGGAGTTTCCTCCTTTATGAAAGATTAGGTGTTACTTCAGGCGATGATGGACTGTCGATCACATGTATCCCTCTATACAGGATGAAACCCGAAGTTCAAGACGTGTGTGAGGCCCCGTCTGCATCCAACCGCGATCATGCTTTACGACGATCTTTCACTGTGTTGACAGTTCGAGTGAGCAACAAATATGTACGTGTCGGTCATGAGGTCGCACTTACCACTTCGCAACATAACATGAATCGCAAGATCATGTGATCGATACGTATTCGTTCCATGGAAAATCATTAGATCGCGAGATCGCAAACTATGGCCGCGCCTTTGGACGAATTGCCAGGGCAGGTGCCATACTTCGAGAGCGATCATATGCGAATCGTGCGATTCGCTAGCGACTGTCGCAAAGTCTGGCATCTGCCTAGCGCTATCATTGATTTCTAACAACTTGGTGCGACTTTCCTCGATGTACTAGTTGAACCACAGTGCTTATGGTTCTTCCGGAAGGATCAGTAACACACACTGCACTTATTAATCACGGCC